GTACGAACAAAAGTAAGAGAAATTTAGGATAAGAATATGAACATGTTCTTGCATGAGGCCCAATGGTTTTTGTTTCTCCCAACTAATGGGTTTAAACTKTGCCCTAGACAGAACACTTTAATAAATTAATCCTCAAAAGTTTTAAATAACACAGCTGGTCTTTATTGAAACATCCTGAGTAGGAGAAGTTAAAAGTTACTGAAGAAAATATTATTTCATGTATTATTATTTCTAAAATGCAGTGGTGGGCACATGTGCTCTAAAGCACAAATGTGCTAATTGCAGACCTAAATTTCTCCTTTACACTTTATAAGGTTTTACTACTTTCTTTAAAGGATGTGCAGATTTACACTTTCTAAATTTAGAAATAAGTAGATCTAATTGCAAATAATGTTTTTTATTTGATCGTCAATTTCGTCTAAAGTAAAAGGAGAGAGTCGTCTATTCTTACTATGTTTTGTAGCCACATAATTCATTAAAACTTCATCATCATTATCTTGAACTTTGGAGATGAAAGTCTCTTTTAACACAATGAAGCTCCACCATGTGAAAACAGTGACCCCTCAGGAAGCATTGTGTTCACAGAGCTTCATACTCTGTCTGACTCTCCTGTGTGACGGTTTTCATTTAGTAGAGTTCCCACCAGGGTTCAACAAGTCCCAATGCCTGCCCGGGGCAGGTAAACAATTTCTTTTGTTTTTTTATAGGGTCATTTATTCGAAATATTCTGAAAACAAATGAAGAAATATAATGTTTTAAAACACGTATAGAGAGAATAAATCCTCAAAATTTCCCCCTCCCCTGTAGAAAAGTCTTGCCGTCGTGTCGCAGGATTATTTCCTCCCTCCCTCCCGCTGCACATCGCGCAGAGCGAAGTTTTAACAACCGTAGTTTTTTCACACCCAAGTTGTCGGAGGAAAAACTTGTTTTTTATGTATTGTTACCCACAGAGATGATAAAAAGACGTGGACGTTCGTTCAGTCTTAAATCCATCTTCCTAATGAGCGCAGAGTAGCAGCGGGTCAGTTCAGCAGGCTCAATATGGCAAGCTGATGTTGCATTTATTTGGCTTCACCACAATTACATTCCAGCTATCTGAAATAGTTTTATGACTAGATTAGACAGATTGGTTATTTAATATAAAATAATAAAATGTTTTCTTTTATTATTTATGTTTTGTTTTATTTACTTATTTTTTAAACTTTGAGATCTTTCCAGCTTGAGTTTGTTTGTTTGTTTGTTGAAGTTGAATTTTGAGAATAAGGGGCACATATGATAGTTTTTTTTCTTCACTCAGCACAGTTTTAATTCAGGGTAGCATTTACTTTTTTAATGCTGTACATAGTTTTGTTTTTATAAATGAAAGAAACAAACAAATAGACATATCTTAATATATTTTGACAATTAAAAATACCTATTTAAGATATCTCTAATTATATTCTGACTAGTATAAATAACATCAGATTCATCATTAAGTTGTAGGGAGACTCCAGTTCAAGATACCTCAAATGTATCTTTAGATATTAGATAGACTAAATAAGATACAATTAATACAAATTTCAGACTTTCATGTTCTGTAAATTGTATTTAAAACAAAGCTGCTGCTGCTGATCATTCTGTTTTTATCAGCAGCCCTCCTAGTACTCCAGGGGAAACACTGGAAYGGTCTAAAAAAGGTTTTTGAAGAAGTTTTTGAAAAAACAATTGACRGTTAGTAACTCAGTCTGCAATGTTTGCATCTGCTAAATCAGATGTCATATATTATGTACCTCTGTGTAACCATGTTAGTATTTTTGTAGTACAAATACAGTACACATTTTTCTTATATTTTATTAAATTTTGAACATTTTTGTTTTGGGCAGGTAAAGAAAAAAAAATCTTGTCGAACCCTGGTTCCCACAATTCTTTGCGTGGCAGGAAGCAGTAAGAACTGTCTGGGTGACAATCCACCTGCGGTTCTGATTGCAGAACCACGCTCAGCTGTGCAGTTCGTACCTCCTCTCTGAGGGACACCACACAAAAAAAATTAAATAAATAAGTAATAATAAAGACAGAAACATGGAACAGTTTAAATTCATACTCTTATTTTGAAAAGAACGGGTTTCCTGTCCTTCGTCCTGTAGCCTACCCAGAATGCATTGCTTCAGTTTTATACAACAAACAGTTTAAAATTACAAATATATCTGCATGTTTTCTTACTGAAGCCCTGCCATAGACATAAGAAAATGACCAAGAAGCAGCAGAACTAGCAATCCACAACTATTTTTTATTTTAACTCCATGATTCACAAGTCTGTTTCAACAAATCACCTCCCCAAACTGCGACAACACATGTCAATCTGTGAATTGATATGGTCTTTCCACTAGATGACAGTAAATTGCTGACTTGTCTCATACCTGAATGTTTTCTGATAAGTGAAGATAATCTTATGCTTTAAATTTAGCTTCTGCTAAGTTTTATTGAGCACATGCGTTTCTGAACTTGCGGACCTAAATAAATTGACTAGTGCTTTAGAAATTGCGCAACTAAAATTTGAATTGGCCCTGCCCACCACTGCTAAATTATTATTTATTATTAAATATTTYTAAATAAAATAAAGGAATAAGTAGAACCAGTGTTTCTGTTCAGTCAGCTAGCTGTAGCAGGTGTTAGCTAGGATTCTGGAGAAGGGCGTCGACACTTTAAGCTGGATGTGAGACCTCCATCACGGTGGGCCCGGTGGGGTAGACCAATAACACAACAGCGTCAGGTTGGAGTTCATTTAGATGGATAAACTCCTGCTCTCTTTGCCATGATTCCGTTACAAGCATAAAAATTTCAAATAAATGCATTTGTTACAGCTGTGAGTCTAAAAGTGCAGGAACTAAAAATGAACCTCAGCTGTGGCCAGGTCATCATAAAGAGTTGTTTGTTCACAGGATGCTGCTGCAAGGTTTCTCTGTAAATAAAAAGTGTGTTTTATGTTGAACAGTGGCTGCAGGACGTCATCGCCCTCCAGTGCAGCATCATGAGACACCTGTCCATCAAACAGAAGGTTGTCTCTGCAGCGTCTACAGCGTCCTCAGATGTGGACAGGAAGAAACCATGTGTTACATCAGAGGACACAAAGACTTCTTTAGAAAGGACTTCTCCATCTGAGCCCTGCTTTAAGCCCTGTGGTTTACCTGAAAACCCTCAAGGGGTCTGTATTTCCAGAGACCCCCCAGCAGAGCTGGGTGTTTGTAAATGCAGCCTGGAACCATGTCAGAACTGTAGAAAACCCAACGGACCTGTGGRAGAGCTTCAGCCTAGTAAAACCAATGGGCCTGTGGACTGTAAGGGTCCGTCAGACCCCTGCAGGCAGGCCGAGCTGCTGCACAGACTGAAGCCTTGTACAGCCCCCCCAGACTCTGCTCCCACCCCCGAGCTGCCCAACCACATAGGAACAAAAACGGTTAAGAAGGACCCAGAGAGCACAACAGAGGCCTGTGCTCAAAACAACTGCCCCACGGGCCCTACAATATGGCCCCCCAGCAGCCAGCAGAACCAACAGGAGGAGCGGACGAGCAAAGAGGAAAAACCCAGTTTGTCTCTCACCAGCAGGTCGCTCTCAGACTCCACAGCTAAAGACCCCCAGGACCAGGAGCCGTCCTTACCACCCACAGGTAACACTGTCTCAGTAAGGTGGGGGTAGAGCTGGGGCAGGAACCAGGGATTTAAATATTATAAATTCAATCAGTGATAAACCTGCTCATCTGTTGAACGTGTTATATGTATGCATACATAGTTTTCACAACAACAATCAATCAATCAATCAATCAATCAATCACCTTTATTTAACCAGGTAGAGCCCGTTGAGATCAGGATCTCTTTTTCAAGGGTGACCTGGTCAAGAGGTCAGCAGCACACGTCACATAATAACTGACAATCAGGATTAGCATAGAACAAAACGAAGATAAAGAAATGTACAAACACTTTGAATAAATGTTGATACTACAAAAGCGTCTACATAAGACAGATTTCAAAAATTAGGCATTAACAATATTTGTTTGACTTAAAACAAGTTTGGGCAAAACAAACAGACATCATCGTTGATAAGATACAGTAGAAAATCACCAATGACATGAATTTCAGAAAGTAATATTTAGAGGCATCTGCAATAGTCGAGTTTCTTGATAACATTTTCTTCTAAGGTTGACATGAAGGATCTTGGAGAGATCAGTGTTGGCAGGTTCAAGTCTGTCTGCAAATTGTTCCAGGCTGAAGGGGCAGCAAAGCTGAACGCTCTTTTTCCTTGTTCCGTTTTGACTGGAGGAACTAACAGGAGGACTAAATCGTTAGAGCGCAGGGAGTAATGACTGTGTGATGTTTGTATTAAGGTGGTGAGGTAAGACGGGACTAGGTTTAGGAGGGTCTTGTAGATGATGGATATCCAGTGAGTGTGTCTGAGAGCGCTGAGAGATGACCAGCCAGATTTGACATAAAGCTCACAGTGATGAGTGTGGTAACTGGAGCCAGTAAGAGCACTGTGGTAACTGGAGTCAGAAATGAACCGAAGAGCACTGTGATAACTGGAGTCAGAAATGAACCGAAGAGCACTGTGATAACTGGAGTCAGAAATGAACCGAAGAGCACTGTGGTAACTGGGGTCAGTA